AGGAAGGAAGGAAGGAAGGAAGGAAGGAAGGAAGGAAGGAAGGAAGGTAAAATGAGCAGAACCAGGGAAACATTGTACACAGTATCAACATCATTGTATAATGATCAACTATGAATGACTCAGTTGTTCTCAGTAGCACAATGATCCAAGACAAGTACGAAGGATTTACCACAGAAAATGCAGTTAAAGAACTGATAGATTCTGAATGCAGATTGATGCATACTTTTTTTTACTTACTTTATCCTTTTTTGTTGTTTTTTTTTCCTTTTGATCTGTTTCTTCTTTCACAACTGTGACTAATATGGAAATATGTTCTACATGATAGCACATGTATAACCTATATCAAATTGCCTACAATATTAGGAAGAGGGGAGGGGAAAGAGGGAGGAAGAAAAATTTAGAACTCAAAATTTTGTAAAAATAATGCTAAAATTGTCTTGACATGTAATTGGGAAAAAAATCATTAAAAAAAAAATAAAAAGGCCAGGTTCTCCCACTGCATCCAGGGCCATCACCAGTCATCCTGATGAAAGAAAGAAAAAAGAAAGAAAGAAAGAAAAAAAGAAAGAAAGAAGGAAAGAAAGAAAGAAGGAAAGAAAGAAAGAAAGAAGGAAAGAAAGAAAGAAGGAAAGAAAGAAAGAAAGGAAGGAAGGAAGGAAGAAAGGAAGGAAGGAAGGAAGGAAGGAAGGAAGGAAGGAAGGAAGGAAGGAAGGAAGGAAGGAAGGAAGGAAGAAAGGAAGGAAGGAAGGAAAAAGGAAGGAAGGAAGGAAGGAGAGAGAGAGAGAGAGAGAGAGAGAGAGAGAAGAAAGGAAAATAGTGTTCTTCAGCCTGTATTCAGACAACATGAGTTTTTTCTGTGGAGGTGGATAGCATTTTTCATCATGAGTCCTTTGGGATTGTCTTAGATCATTGGATTGCTGAGAATAGCTAAGTCATTCACAGGTCTTCATTATATAATATTGCTGTTGCTGTGTATAATATTCTCCTGCTTCTGCTCATTTCACTTTGGTTACTGCTAGCCTAACTAATTAATTGATCATGATTGGACCATTGTCTCTCAGTTTACCTTAATTTTTTTTTAAAGCAATTGGGGTTAAGTGACTTGCCTAGGGTCACACAGCCAGTAAGTGTCAAGTGTTTGGTGTGAGGCTGGATTTGAACTCAGGTCCTCCTGACTTCAGGGCCGGTGCTGTATTCACTGTGCCACCTAGCTGCCCAATTTTCTTTTTTTAATTAATTAATTTTGATTTATCAACAATCACTTCCATATGCTTTTGAGTTTAAAATTTTTCTCCCTTCCCTCCCCACCACCCTCCCCAAGACAGCACACAATTTGATATAGGCTCTACATATACATTCCTATTAAACATATTTTCACATTAGTGATGTTGTAACTAAGAATTAGAACCAATAGGAGGAACCACCAGAAAGAAGAAACGAAACTCAACAGAAGAAAAAAAATAGCAAATAGTATGCTTTGATCTGCATTCAAACTCCATAGTTCTTTCTTTGGATGTGGATAGCATTTTCCATCACAAGGCATTTGCAGATGTCTTAGATGCTTGTATCGCTGGGTAGGGTTAAGTTTATCAATGTGAGTCATCGCACAACATGATTGTTATTGTGTACAACATTCTCTTGGTTCTGCTCACTTCACTCAGCATCAGACCGTACAAGTGTTTCCAGGTTTTTCTGAAGTCAGCCTGTTCATCATTTCTTATAGCACAATAATATCCCATTACATTCATGAACCACAACTTGTTCAGCCTTTCCTCAATTGATGGGCATTCTCTCAATTTCCAATTCTTTGCCACCACAAAAAGAGCTGCTATAAATATTTTTGTACATGTGGGTCCTTTTCCCATTTGTATGATCTCTTTGGGATATAGCCCTAGAAGTGCTACTGCTGGGTCAAAGGGTATGCACATTTTTATAGCCCTTTGGGCATAGTCCCAAATTGCTCTCCAAAATGACTGGATCATTTCACTCCAAGGCCAGAGTTCTATCCACTGTGCCACCTAGCTGCCCTGGACTGCCCACTTTCTAGTCATTTAGCACCTTACTTACTTCACCTCACAGGTACTTTGCAATCCAGAGACAAAGGTCTACTTGCCATTCTTCCCACAAGGACCCTGGGCATTTTCTCTGGTTGTGCCACCATGCCCCGAATGCTGTCCCTCCTCATCTCAGCCTTCTGGTTTTCCTGGCTTCCTTCAAGTCCCAGTTAAAGTCTCACCTTCTGTAAAAAGCCTCTCCCAGTTCTCCTAAATGTTACTACCTTCCCTGTGTTGATTATTTCCAATTTATTATTTATATGTCTTGTTTGTACATAGTTGATTACATGCTCCATTAAACTGGGAGCTCCTTGAGGGCAGGAACTGTCTTTTGCTTTTCTTTGTATCCTCAGTGCTTAGCACAGTGCCTG